TAAAAATGTAGTCAAGCTATTGGTTTACGCTCAATGAGAACTTATTTAAATTAAATAAAAAAAGATAATAAAGAAAATAAAGCTAACTACTGTATATTTTTGCAAAAATGTTTGAAATAAATATTTTATGAAATTATCTGAAACAAGGTACAGTACATAAATTAACCATATTTTGTTGTCTTGTTGTCTATTGCATGTTGTATTTATAAATGGTTTTTACTTATTTTTTTCACTCTGTCCTGTTTGCAACTAAAGGCCCTTTTCTTTATCAAACCGATTATGAGTTCAATCAGGCCCATAATGGGGCGGCCGAGTGATGAGGGATGGGGCCTGATATGTCCGGATGGACCACTACCGAAAAATTCCTGGGGTTTCTTGATCCTCCTGGATTTTATCCCGGTACCGCCAGAGCGATAGATACTACTTTAACAACTTGGCTATCCGGCTGTTTTTTTATAAACGGGTGTGATGTTGAGGTAAAATCATATTTTGATGTTAAGTTTTAGACATAGTACAGCCAACGATGTAATATGGCAGTTTGATGTTTGTCATCTACATAAATTTTTAGATATCGCGCAGCCTTAATTGGTATCTCGTCCTGTATTTATGAACCTAGAAGATGAGCATCTCATCAGCGACTCTATAAAATGAGAATAATAAAATAGAATAATAATATGATTGAAAATATTCAATTTATTAATGCAGTGTTTCTCAAACTTTTTTGTCAGGTGGCACACTTGAAATTATTAAACAAAATTCACGGCACCCCTATTATTATTATTTATTATTTTGCTTTTTACGGTTAGTAAAGATATGAAGGATGAGAAGACTTTGAAAAAAATAAAAGTTTTTTATTAAAGTAAGTTTATTTCCAAACAACACAAAAGCATTCAAAACAAAAGTTATTATTATAAAGGTATCTTTTAATTATTTATTTAATTTAATACTTTAATTCAATTATTTTAAGTAATTTTAATTTAATTATTTAAAAATTTCGCGGCACCCTTGTGGCGTTCTTGCGGCACCCTAAGGTGCCGCGGCACCCGCTTTGAGAACCACTG